GRAAAWTYYTTMMAAAWTGGCTCATTTCGGTCATGAAATCTCCGTTCGAAAATACTCCATTTTCAAATTGAAAGCAAAAAAAATGCTGCTTTATTCTCTTTATTTCGTTCCCGAAAATAAAAGAAAGCACGAGAAAATGTCAGTAACTTTGAAAACTTGCATTTTTTCCTCAGAGTTGATGAGACCTTTAGTTAAGACCGGGCTTAAGCCTTCTGGGAATACCGTGACAGTGTTAGCCTCAACTCGAGGAAAATGTAATCTGTTGGTGCTGTTGCACTTACAAGTCTTGGTAAAGTCTTTGCATAAGAGAATCTGCTGTCAAAATAAAACAGCGATTATTCATTTGAATTCATGAATCGAGTATTGCTATTCGCCATTTTTTTTTCACAACCTTTTTTTAAAATAGCTTCAGTTATACAATTCAAGTTAATTTATAAAATAATACACTTATATATTGTAATATTTTTGGTTTGCACTCAATTTCCTTATCAGTTTTTTTTATGCCTTAATGCTGAACAGCACACTGGTTGGTGATTGGTTCACTTTCGGCATTGTTTTTTTTAGAATTGTATCATATCCAAAAAAAACATCTTTTGAACACACTATGCGTTTATTCGAAACAAACTTGCATCAAGAGTTATTGAGTAACTGAGATCTAAAAATCATGACATCGAAAACGATCTTTTTTGCATTTGGAGTTGTATTTTTGGGCATCTGTTTTAAAGGTAAGTATATTTAAGGCAGTAAATTGTATTTGTTSACTGGAAATGCTCTCTTGTTTGCTATTCTTTTCAAAGTTTTCGTGTCCTWCTTCAGTTTATGCGGAGTTGAAATTAAAAATCAAAGCAATTCTCCTTTAATATATATTAATTGCAATCATTTAACTATCCGATGACAAAATCATATATTGCCTGGAGTTATCAATAAAGAAAATAGTGTRAATCTTGTTAAGACTATTTGCACACTATCTTTAATACATGAAAGCGATATTTTTTAATTTGAAGCTCTTGATTAGATTAGGAGAAAGTCTACTCAAAGGGAAGTGGATACTTCCAGACAATACTCCAAACAATGGAATCGTCATATTTAAAATCATGACAATTGTGTTCTAAGGGCAATACCTGCTTCAAATTAAAATATACCTTATCTATCCAATGTATTTGTGTCAGGTAATTAACAAAGACAGGCTTATTATAAATTGCGCTCTTGAGAATCGCGAACCGATCTTTTCCTAGTCTGCAATTCTTTCACTGAGCTACTAGGAAAAATCCCAACGCTTGTTTGTATATAATTACTAATCCTTTTTGATATTGTGCTTTCTTTTGAATTTAAGTTTAAACATAGAAACTGAGTTTGTTTAATACAAGATTCCAGTAACCAGCTCTTCATAATTCTTATTGTAATATTCGTATTTCATCAAGATTTACGTTTCTCTTTTACTTTCTAGAGGCCCAAAACTATACTTTTGCGCACTTTACTATTGTTTATGTTYTGAAAGTAAATACAAAAATTCATTTTTTTTGGAACCAAGCTACAAMATGTGTTTTGTGGTTTTCTTGATGTAAATAATGTTGTCCGGTTTGAAGATTTTGATCGCTTATAAATTGTTTACGAAGATTTTTGGCGAGACCTAATAACCTCAACAACAAGAAAACAGAAAAGCATTAATAACAGTTTAGCATCATCGCCAGAATGTTGCAGGTTATTTGGGATTTAGTTTACAATAAAAATTGACAGGTCAAACGCGACCACCCGCAATAAGGGAACGCTTTTCTGCTAAATCGCCATTCTCATGTAGTGAACGCTTGTTAAAAAAGGACTCAAAATTCAAAATTTAAAGTACTTCGTTGAAGGGTGTTTTATAGCATAATGTAAATGAATTTAATTTAATGCAGTATAATCTAAATACGATATACAATGAAACAATCCTGTAAATCATCCTTACAGCGAAAATCGTTGCATCGCGATCTCTTTGATTTGAAGTTTGTCTGGATTTTGTTCTTTCTGTCAATCTGATGGGCGGAGCTTTCCATAAACTCGTTCAGTCATTGGCTGATTTGTATTAAGCTCCGCCCCCATGTCGAAAAAAAAACCTAAATACCAACAATTTCCTTTGAACATTGAAGTCGCGATGCAACGGTTTCTGCTGTAAAGTTGGAAATACTATGTAAATTATTAGATTTATATTTTGAAAAGAGAGACATAAATTTTTTTGTAAGCTCCAATTAATGTCTACTCAGTATCGTCAGTATAACAGCGGTTATCTAGCCTGCGTAGCGGTCCTAATGGAACTGGGGAGGGCCGAGATTGGACTCTAGCTTTTCGTCGTCCCCAGTCTCCGCTCGCCCCCCCCCCCTTTCTTTTGAATTTAAGTTTAAACATAGAAACTGAGTTTGTTTAATACAAGATTCCAGTAACCA